CGATGACGTGTGTGATCACAGGGCTGGCAAGAAATACCAATGTGGATTCCTTCCGGGAACAGAACCGCAACCACCACCAGGGGCCCCCACAGAGAAACCTGCCTTTCTAGGAGCATATAGAAGGACCAGTGGGTCATGAGACATCCCCCTCAAACACGACCATCCTGGGGAATCCCATACATGGCACGGGGGACGCTGAGGAGGCCCTGGTGAGAGCTGAGGACCCTGGCAGCCTACTGCCCGCATACGGGGCTCAATGCGTGCTGGGGCCTGGGGGCCAGAAAGGGGTCCGAGAGGGGCTCAGGCGCGCCGGGGGGCGGGCAGCAGCGCGCTGTCAAACTGGTAGGTGAGCTTGCGTTTGACCTTGCGGATTTCGCCCGTCTTGGCGTAGTTTCGCAGCGCACGCGCCAGCTTCTGGTACGTCATACGCTTGCGGTTGCCCTTCTGCTGGCCCCAGCGGCGAGCCAGCAGCTCCTTGTGCTTGGAGGAGAACTGGAAGACGCCGGCACCCGGCTCCACCCACCACACGCACTCGCGCATGTCCCCGCGCAGCAGCAGCCCCAGCAGGAACTGGTACAGGCGCAGCTTCTTGCGTGCACCTGCAGGGTATTGGGTACCCACGTTAAGAGGGGAAGTCTGTTGAAGGGACCCCCAGACCTACAACCCCCTGACACACTTTAGTTTTCACAGTTGAGTCGGGCCTAGTTGGCTCAAACCTATTCTAACTACTCCAGAGACTGAGAAAGGGGATCACAAGTTCAAGACCAGACTGGGCAACTTAGTTAAGACTGTCTTCTAAAAAGAGGGCTAGGGTATGCCTCGGTAATAGAGCCGCTTGCCTAGAATCCCCACAGTGAGGGACTGGGGAGTGAAGCAGTATAAGATAACGGGTTTTATATTTGGGAAACTGATGTCCAACAGAGAATAATTTGATTGAAAGGCTGTCACACAGGCTGGGCGTTGATGGCGCATGCCTTTAATCCCAGCAGAGATTAAACTGGGGAGGCAGAGGCAGGGAGATCTCTGTGAGTTCGAGGCCAGCCTGATCTCCAGAGCGAGTGCCAGGATAGGCTCCAAAGCTACACAGAGAAACCCTATCTCGAAAAACCAAAAAAAAAAAAAAAAAAAAAAAAAAAAAAAAAAAAAAAAAAGGCTGTCACACACAGAGGTCAGGAGAGGGTGACTGGCTGTGGGTAGGTATTGTGCTTCCTTTTGCTGTTACTGTGTTTTTGTGCACAATGGAAACCCAGGCACAGAGAGGATAATGCCCTTGGCCAAGGTCACACAGCCAACAATTAGCATGGATTTGGAAACTTCCCCGGGAGGTATTAGTAAATGCTTAGAGAACCCTGGTTCCTTCAGCCCCTTTCCCACCCACAGTCAGGAACCCCACCAACTCTCCACCCCACATACCTGCCTCGGATCCCCTCCCCTCGGAGCCAGCCAAGAGGGCCTCGTCTGACTCACTGTCCGAGACCTCCAGGGCAGGGCTGTCCAGCAGAATGTCTTCCTCCTCTGACAGCACAGGGCTGGGGTACGGAGCATTAGCCAGGGGGCCCAGGGTCTGTGAGAGACCAGGGTCACCTGCACATCTCTTCCCTCAGTCTCCCCCCACCTCTGCAGCCCTCACTACTTGGGTCTGCATCTTCCTGTGCAGTATGGACACTGGCCTTGGTTATCTCAATACACAGAGAAGTTAAGGCAGTTGCCCAAAGCTACACAGCCAGTAGATGGCCTGGATCCAGGAACTGCCCTCTGAACTGAAGTATATAATAGGGAGCTCAGGGGACACCTGAACTACCTCAGAAAGGTGTTCTTGTGTCCCTTACCCAGGAACAAGCCATAAGTTCATTTCAGAGAGTTGTAGAAGAAATAGGTGGTGAGAAGTCTCCCTCCAAGCTTTCCCTGCCCCTCACCTGGCTGACGAAGTCCTCGGAGGGGTACACCTGGAGGCCAGGCCCTGGAGCCTCCAAGCTAGGGGCTGGGTCGAGGGTCCCCACAGGGCTGTAGGCAGAGGGGCTGAGACCATGACCATAACAGAGCTGTACAGCCTGGGAGTGGGCAAAGGCAGCCGTAGTGGGGTCGAAGACTTCATAGGGTGTGATGGTGGGGGCAGGCGGGGCCTCCGTCCAACCCCATGTGGAGTCTGGGAGAAGGGTCAGAGTTAGCAGCTGAAGGTGGACAAAAGACCCGCACCCTCAAGGTCCCACACAGAGGGGCCTTTGTAAGTTGTGCAAATCTCTGACCCCAGAATTTGCATGGGGGAACAGATGGACTGGAGGGGGTAGGTAGGGAGGTGGCTTGGGGAGGGGCTGCTATGAGGGAGAGCTCCCATGGGCCTCATCTCCCCCACTGTGAACTGAGCCCAAGGTGCTAGGAAGCTGGGGTCACTCACCAGGGCCCCCATCTGAATCTGGGTAACTGAAGGGCTTGCAACTGTCCAGGTCATAGAAGACACCTTCTGGGTACTGCTGGAGTGAGGACAAAGTCATCTCAGGCCTTGGAGACCCTCTCCTCCCCAACCTTTGGGAAGACTGACAGGTGAGAGCAGGGAGGGACAGACAAGGACAGAAACAAATAGAGACAGAGATTGAATCCACGAATAAGGGACACCCAGAAGCTAGCATCTGCCGTGGCTGTGATCCTCAAGGAACCCTAGTAGTTTCCGGTATGCAGCTGGTGCCCAGGAACTCACTCTATAGCCCAGGGTGGCCCAGAACTTGAGCAATTGTTCAGGCTTATCCTTTGAGAACTGGGGTGACAGGCACACATCACCTTCTTTAATCTAGGACACCAATCCGTCTCAACATTGTAGAAGCAGTGGAGACCAGAGCTGAAGTGGATGAGTGCTACCCTACTGACTCCAACACACACACACACACACACACACACACACACACACACACACACTCTCACACACACCCTCCAGTTTGTGCAGGGAAGATAGAAACCTGTATGCACAGAGCGGCCTGAAGCAGCTCTGCTCTGACCCCAGACCACAAACTTCTCAGCAAGAAGGAGGATAAACAAGCTGTGTGGTGTACTGGTGGGTGGCAGACCGTGCAACAAAGGCAAAGGACAGGTACCTAACTGTGGATGGAAAGAGGTCAGGTGCCCAAAAGACCTGAATCACTTAATAAAAACTCCAAATGGATCACTGTAAAATATTGAGTGAGACTGAGTAGGAGGGAATACCAGGGAATGTTCTAGAATGATGGAATTTTTCAAGATCTGGGTCTGGTAATGAGGCAGGAGGACCATGGGTTTGAAACCAGCTAGGGCTACACTGAAAGGCAGTGTCTCAATTAAAACAAAACAATACAAACAAACAAACAAAAAGCCCAGCAAAATCCAAAGAAGTGGGGGCTTCTTGCCACCACGGGAAAGGTCCCATTATTTGGTTGCGAGTTCAAATATGTTGGGGAAGATAGTTGGTGTCCTAAGTACTATAGTTAAAAGATGTAAGATCCATAACCCAAAAGAAGGAACTGTACACGTAGAACATGGAATAGACAGGTATACAAGGTCAAGGAATTAGCCTCAAGTTTTAGAAAAAGAGCAGACAGATGAGGTGGGTTTGGGGAGACAGACAGAGACTGGAAACTGAGGAGAGAAGTAGGTGATCTTAGTAAGGTTAGTCCCCATGGACCACGAAGGGGCCCGCTACCCCCCTGGGGACCTCCGACTCACCAAACAGCTCAAGTGTGGGCCATCCAGCCTGGCAGGGGAGAGACACAGGGGCATGTCAGGGCTGCCCTCAGCCACCTGAGTCTCAAAGTGGTTGTGGGGCCCACAGGGGAGATGATGGCAGCTGTGATCACCCACCACAGCTCTGCAGTTTGCTGGCTGTCCTTGTGTGTGCCCAGCCTTCCCACAGTCACCCCCCACACCCCCATCGGGACAGGAAGTAGGGGGCGGGTGCCAGGCAAATGTCCCCCACTACCCCTGGGATTTGCATGCACAGACACTGGGGGGAGACAGGGAAAGTAAGAGGGAGAAAGTCCCCAGACAGCTGAGGACAGGGTGGCCAGAGAGCTTGGTTTAGGTGTCTTAGCAAATCTAGCTGAGACCAGAAGCAACAATGAACTGAAGAGCAGGGCTAGAAACAATGAGGGAGTGAGCAAAGGACTGGGTCTCTTGTGCTGGAGTACGGGCTGCTAGGGCAGTGCCAGGAGCCAAAGGGAAGGGTTGTACAGAAGGAAGTAGAGGCAAACAAAACTCAAGGGGCAGAGAGCGCCAGAAATGGAGCATGCAATACTGTGTAGATGACAGACGGCGCACCTGGGAGGACCTGGGCAGGATGGGAGCGAGTGTCTCCAGAACATGCCATCTTTGGAACCCTGTCTAGGAAGACAGAGCTGATGGAGAACTGTCCTCTGCAGACAGTGGGGCCACCCCCTTACCACTTGCCTTGGGGGCCACAGAAAACAGAGGGTGCTGAGTGGGGTGGGGGGGGTCCCAAGTACAGGTTTGGGGATTACCCACTTACTGTGCAGCTTCCAGAGCAAGCATGGTGGCTCAGGGCAGGCTGGGTTGGCTCTGCCACTACCCCTATATATACTCTGGCCCAGCCCCCACCCCCCAGGGGCGGGCCACGGGGGCCCTCCTCAAAAATCCCCTCGGGGAGGGGTCTGGATTGCACAACCCTCTGGTCATGTGGCAGGGAGGGGGGGCCTAGGAGCCATTTGGATTTGGGGTTCCCCACCACGGAGGGGTGGAGAGGTGCTGAGAAAAGGCAAGATGAGGGGCTACAGGCTCTGGGAACTGGATACTACAGGAGGGAGCCAATGGTGACAGGGACAAGATGGTATGGGGGCAGTGAGGTCCAGGGACAGTGTGAGGACAGGGGATCTCCCAAGAGCTGAGGGCAAGCCCAGACAGACCAACCACCAGGACCCCAGTGTCGGGAAGGGTCCCCTTGCAGCCCTGAGGTGTGGAAGCCTATGTGCCAAGGGCTTCCCCAGGCCTGAAGGAAATAGGATAGCACCCAGTGCCAGCTGGGCGACCACCAGCCCCGTGGGGAGGAGCAAAGCAGTGCGGTGGGGTCCTACTCAGGGTTTCAAAAGGGAAACTGAGAGATGCCAGTCCTGTGTGGGCACAAACAGAGGCACTGAGGCCCCTGAGGGTTACATAGTGCCTAAGCCATGAAACCCAACCCATTCCCAGAGACCACAACACACAGTCAGTAGCAAAAAGTCTGAACTTTATTCCGTGTCCCTCGTCGAGTCACCAGGCCTCGGGGCCCGGAGGTCCAAAACGCTGCAGCAGCCGCTCCTGGTCCTCCAGGTCCTTGCGCACTTTTTTGCGCATGTAGAAGATGGGACAGTCGCGGCTGCGAAGGGTGGTGGTCAAGGGCCGTTCCCAGGACAACAGCAATGCCCTGAGAGGAAGCCAGCCATATATCAGCTGTCACCTGTCGTGGGAACCCGCCCCGCCCGCCCGTTCCCTGGGGAAAGCCCGGCCCCACCCTGGGGGAGGCTGGGCGGGCAACTAGCCCAGGCAGACCCTGCCCACTCTTCAGTGAGGTCTCTAGGCTGAATCAGGAGTCTGGTAGCAGGTGGGGGAGGGTGCACCTGGTGCAGATGACGTCCTCATGCAAGCTGCCCTGGCAACGCTGGCACTGTGTCCAGAGGCGCGAGAAGCGTTCCTCCAAGGCATTCAGGTGTGACACCTGGGGGCACAATGGATTGAGCAGGGCTGTGGGGATCAGGCTGGCCCCTGCTCCAGCCTCAACCTCACTTACCTCCTTCTGATAGAGCTCTGACGATCGGGGCTGACAGAATTCACACACAGCTCCTAGAAGAGGGGTGGGTGTCAGCGCAGAGGTACTGGGACAGAGCCAGGCCCTAACCTACATCCCTGCATCTCTGCTCTTCTCCACCCGCTGCCCATCCCGGCTTCTGAAAGTCCCCAGAGACTGGAGAACAAGGGCCCAACTGTGTGGGGAAAACTCCCCTGGGGAACCCCGGAGCGGGCGAGGACCCTCCACTGGAGTGCAGGCAGCATGGAGCCCGTGGCAAAGCCCCACTAGTGAATCTAGGAGCTGTGGCTTAGGTCTCACCCTGATGGTTGATCACTGAGCGGCAGCCAATGCAACAGTTGCGGCGCTTGGTGAAGGCTAGGAGGCCACCAACCTTGCTGGTGAGCACGGTTTTGCAGCGTGTGTGGTCTCCTCCTACAGGAGAGGAGTTGATGCCCTTGCCCCTGCCCCAGCCCCTTCCTCGCCCACACCCCCTCCTCCGGGTTCTACTTACGGAGCAGCACAGACTCTGCACGGCCCTCACCCAGAATGGGCTCAAAAATGCGCAGCAGTGGCTTGGCCAGCTGCTGCTCCAGGTAGTATTGAGTGTCGATGGGCAGGCTGTGTTCCAGCACAAACAGGGGGTCCTGTGGGCAGGCTGGGGTTACCAATGGCTGCAGAGGGGCTCGGAGTATGGACACCACCAGCAGGCTGTGATAAAGGGGTGCACCTGGGGGCACGATTCTGGCCTGGGTGGGGGTTCTCAAGTCACTAGGAGTCAGTTTCCCCATGTGAGAAGGAGGGGCCATGGAGGGGGTGCAGGGGCAGAAGTTACAAGGTTGAGATTTGGGTCACTGTTCTTGGGTGGCTTGAGATGATAAAAGCAAATAGAGGTGCTAGCACCCTGGGCAGGGAGGGGTGGAGATGGCACAACAGCCAACTCTGTACAAGGAGGCACCACACAGTCAGGCCCAGGGGCTTGACCGCCCAAAGGAAAGCAGAAGTGAGATTCTGGGAGGGGCACAGCCCAGGTGGGTCTGACCTCCGACTTCATGTAGGCAGCCACGCCTTTGGCAGCACCGATGATCACATAGGGGACGCGGTCACCCAAGCTGGGCGCACTGCCGGGGTCACGCTTCCTCATCCTGCAGATGGGGAGGTGGGTGAGGTTTGGGGAGGGCTGAATGGCTGGCCCAGCTGCAGGAGGCTGTGAGTGCCTACCTCTCAGCCAGTTCCACATGAGCCTGCTTGCCAGCATAGTCTGCGGCTGCTCGGGTCAGCTCCTTGGTGATGACCAGCTGGGAGATGTCTATGCGGTTACACAGCAGGTCTGAGATCACATCCTTTGCATGGGCCACTGCCCCATCGGGATCCCTGCAACGACGTGGGAGTCACCAGGGACTACTGAGGACCGGGCTGCTGGGCTGCTGGAGATGCGGCACTATGGGCTCAGACTGGGGTCGGGGTGAGTGCAGAGGCAGGAAAGGCCAGAGGCAATCACATCCGCCAGCCTGATCCACCACTGCTCCACCATCAAGCCAAGACACCCCTATCCCCAGGGTAGGGTATTGGGCCCCTGGGTCTGAGGGAGGCGGGCTTCTTGGTCTGGGTGGGACAAACACACACACCGGTCCACAAGGATTCGTCGCAGAGAGGATGTAACAAGGTTGGCCACCAGGGGACAGTTGTCCCTGCGCACAGCCTCCAGGCCCTTGCAGTCCATTCTGTCATGGGTATCAGGCTGGGAGGAGAAGAGCAGGCCAGCATAGCGCTTCTTGCTGATGAGCAGGTATGGGAAGTAAACCTGGAAGGGACCCATGGGTGGTGAACCTGTGTACTGCCACCCACCCCCAATCCTGAGACCTGTCAGAAGCAGGACAGGCAAGGAAGGGGCCCTTGACCTTGGTGAAATGAACCCTAAGGAGACCTGAGAACCCTCCAGCACCCTACGAACCCCACCAGACATCACACCACAGACCTAGAGCTGGCCCCTAAATCATGGAATCCAGACAGACGACACAGTGAAGTCTCAAAACCATGGGAGGAGACAGGACCAAGTGAGTCCAGAGCTGAGGTGGCCTCAGACCCAAGGACAGGAGCAGCTAGGGGTGCACGTGTGAGCATTGCAGGATCCATGCACAAAACCCATGGGAGTGGGGAGCAGGCCCAGAGAATGGCAAGCCCCCCATACTACTGCAATGTCAGCCTCTGCAGGCACACAAGTAATAAGAGACCATCATTAATTGCCAAGACCCCTACTGTCTCCACCCAGCTGGGTTCAGGGGACACGCGCACCTTCTCAAACTCCAGTCGGATGGGTGATGGGAAGTGACTAGATACCCAGTTTGCAGCCTCTCGACCCAGAGACATTGCCTCAGCCACAGAGGAGACACCAAATCGGCACATCACAGAGTCAGTGTCACCATAGACCACCTGCCAAGGTAGGTATGAAAGGAATGTGTCTTCTCAACCCAGAACCTGCCACAGAAGGTAGCCCAAGGACCTGGAGAATAGGCAGGTGTGACCAGACCCTGACCTTGGCATTGGCATTGTAGCCATTTTCCAGGGTGTACTTGGACTCCACTAGTTGCTTGGTTTTCTCAATCATCTGCCGCCCGAACCCAGTGACACTCTGTGAGGGGCAGAAGCAGGAAGAGTGAGGACCCAAAAGCTTCGTGCAGTGGGTCCACCCTGAGGAAACACCTCTGCCACTTCCAAGCACCACAGAACATACATCTTCCGTCTATGAAACAGGTGACTGCTGCTCCAAAGTGTCACGTTCTCAGGACACGCAGCCATTCCCTCACTGGGGGACTTTTAGGCAGGGGCTCTACCACTGAGCTATATCCTCAGCATTCTTTTTATTTCAAGACAGGCCTCTTGCCTCAGAGTCATGAGTAGACAGGAGTACAGGCCCACACTACCACATCCTGCTCTGGCTGGGTACTGGCGGGTTATAGGCAGGATGCTCTCTGCCTGGGTCTCGTGAGGTCATAGGGACAGCTGAGAAATCCAGACCTGACTTGTCTTTTTTTTTTTTTTTCCGAGACAGGGTTTCTCTGTGTAGCTTTGGAGCCTCTCTGGCACTTGCTCTGGAGACCAGGCGGGCCTGGACCGCACAGAGCCCCGCCTGCCTCTGCCTTCCAAGTGCTGGGATTAAAGGCATGCGCCATCAACACCCGGCCTACCTGACTTGTCTTTTGTCCACCTGCTCCATACTCTTTTTTTTCTTATTTTATTCTGGAATGACTCAGTAGCCTATTATCCCACCATAAGAGGCCACAAGAGACAGACGGGATTATCAGGGGCTCCTTTGGTCTAAGGTCCCAACCCCCACCCCATCCCTAGGGATGCTAGGAGTGGGCACACAGGAGTGAGAGTGGCAAGCAGACAGGAGGCAACTCTGGCAGAGGCAGGTCTGGCTGAGGCCTGGGCATCCTTCCAGGCAATAAGCTTCCCTGAGCCCTTGAGTAACTCCAGAGATCTATGCTCACAAGGGGAGTTAACAGGGACCTGGGGCCACACAAGCTTGGTTTGAACCTGGGATCAGGGGAACTGGAGAAGAAGTAAAAAGTAGCTTGTCAGTCACAGCCTCCATGCCCTCATAACCCATCCTGTTACCTGCTACCTTGCTCTGGACATTCTCTAGGTAATGCTCCAGGTGTTATTCCTCACTACTGAGAGAACCAAGCACTGGGTCTGTGAGCTAACTGAGCAGCAGCACCTCAGGCCTACAGCAGGGTTACCTCACACTCTCTCACTGTTAATCGGTTTCTGTCTGAACCCTGGGTTGCCACATTGGTAGACATGAAAATGGGCACAGTCCTTTCCTACTCCTGTCCCAGCTGGTACTGGCCAAGATCTTCACACTTGGGACAGAGGACCCTGGAGCTTGCTAACAGGTGCCAGCAAATCCATCCTGGCTGTGTCGTCCCCCCCCCCCCACTGCCCTGCCCCGCTTCCCTTCACAGGAAGGTGGAAGAGGCGAACAGAGGAGTAGCTGCTGGAATTGGAGTGTCCCACCAGTGACCCAGCATCCTGAGCGCCCACCTCATGTGACCCATTGGCAGAGCCCTAGAAGCCACTTGTGCTGTAAGCACTACCTGAGGCCAGAGTCTGTCCCGCTACACCATGAGCAAGGAGTACCAAGGAGAGGGACTCTGGTCCCCGACGACCCTGTATGTCAGAGTGCAGAGGCTGGCCTGATAGTTGGGATGCCTGCCATACCAGGACACCCTCTGACAGAACTGACCTCGAAATGCAGGCCAGCAGTAACCCAGCCACTCATTAGCATCCCAAAGGCTTACCTGAGAGATCTCCAAACATGGCAGCTTGCCCACCTGGGCACCAGTGAAGCCATACACAGAGTTGGCACTCACTTTCAGTGCCAGCTGCCGTCCATCCAAGACCTGCCGCCGCAAGGGGTCTGTCTCCTGAGCCAGCTCAGCCTTGGCCCTAGGTGGAGGCAGGATGGAAGCTGTTCAAGGGGACCATGGGTCTCAGGGAGGCACCTAGGCACAGACACTGGTCAGGGTGCCAAACATAGCTGAGTGTGCTCAGAATGTAGGCCCAGAGGGCAAAGGGGTGCTGTCCGGAAAGGAGCCTCATTTAATGTAGACACAGCTACAGATAGAAGACCTGGACTAGGTCACGACAGGGGAATCTAAGCACTAAGCAGGGCAGGGCTCCAGAGCCCACCTCTTCCGGGCACTCAGCAGATTCTCCAGGATCTGGGGCAGGAGGCCCTTCCGCACAGATGACTTCACAAACTCATCTCCAGTGGGTGTCTTGATGAACTCATCTGGTTTAAGGCTGGGGAAGGCAGAGGTACAAGAGACTGGGCTTTGGGCCTCCCTGGCTCTCCCCAGCTTCGCCCAGGCCCTGCTTCAGCCTCCCTCAGGTCAGCCTCTCCATTAGCCCCCCCACACACACACAGCCTGTCAAGTCCGTAACTCCCATGTCTCCTTTCCCTGGACCATCACTTCTTGGCCTGATCTATCAAAATGTAAAACAGGGCTTAGGATGGTTTGGGGAACATCCTGGATGAAGGCAGCATACCCCAACTTCTGGGCAGCCCCGGGCCGTAGCAGTGTGGTGTAGCACAGATTATGGGCCATCATGATGGATGGGTACAGAGAGGAGAAATCCAGGGTGGCAATGGGGACGTCATAGTACCTAAAGAAGGGTTGGAGAAGTAAACCCCCATCCTGCCCCTACCCTTGGCCCTTACCTTTAAATTTTTTTTTTTTAGATACAGGATCTTAAGTAGGTCAGGCAGGCCTTGAACTCCCCCTGAGTGCTGAGATGACACATGTGCCCCACCGTGCCCAGCAGGGTCCTCACCCTTTAAGGGGCTCAATGACAGTGGCTCCCGTGTAGTCCTCACCGCCCTCAGTCTTCACCACAGGCATCAGGAGCCCCTGGCGCATGGCCTGGAGAAGGGGTGGTATAAGTATCCAGGTACCAGGAAGGGTGTGTGCATGTATGTATGGTGGATGTGGCCAACGAGGTTCAGCCACCCACCTGGCGCAGCAGCTGAGACACGACCTTGACCTGTTGGCCCCGGCTGAGCAGGTATCCAAGGGGCACACCCGTGACACGCGCCATTTCTACATTGTTCACCAGCACCATAAGGCGCTCAAGCAGCCGAAGTGGCAGGAAGGCGTCCTTCAGGCAGTACACGGCCAGGCGGCGGCGTGTCTGCTCTTTCCAGTTCTGAGGACAGGCATGTGAGGTCAGGGGCTGGGGCAGGGGGGAGGCAGGCGGGGGGCAGGGGGGAGGCAGGCGGGGGGGGGGCAGGCGGGGGTGGGGGGTG